TTGGGAATGGGAACTTCATTTATTCACTCCAGGAATGGGCACGGATGCCTGCCTGTGGCAGGCCCTGTGCGGGCTCCGGGGCCCCAGGTGTTCATAATAGCCAACGATGATGAGTACGCTTCCTCTGGTGGGGACTCCAGGGCTCATGGGTGGCACAGCCCCGTGATGGGTGCTGCAGAAGACAGACACGCAGGGGGCTGTGGGAGAGCTGAGGAGCAATGGGGAGGCTCATGGTGCTGCCTGGACTGGGGGAGATGGAGGGACATTCCGGGGGAAGGAGCCTCAAGGGCAGGTTCAGGGAGGAGAGGTTGCATGGTCTACTCTGGGGACTCCTCTGCGTTGTCCATCCGAGCGGCTGGAGCGTGGGGGAGGAGGTGTGCACAGGGGCGAGGCTGGAGACCCCGCGAAGCCGCGCCAGGACCTCACCTCGCTGCCCCTCCAGAGAGACCGCACTGCGATGGAGGGCAGTGGGGAGCCAGGGGAGGCGCCCGGCAGGAGAGTGACACGGTCAGATTTGCACCCCAGAGAGCCGAGGATGGGGGAGGGCTTGTTACTGGGGTGCAGGTGAGGAGGGTGGGGCTCCCAGGCCGGGCTGACAGGTGGAGAGATGCTTAGGAGGGGCAGTGGGGCTCCTGGTGCAGCTGGGCGGCCCAGTTCCCGGCCAGGGTGGCTGGGTGGGGATGGGGGTGTTGCCCTTGTCTGAGGCAGGCAGGTTCCCGGGATGGCCGGGGGCGGGTGAAGCCCAGGGCCTGGCACACAGCAGGTGCTCAGTAACTGCACAGAGACGTGTGTGCGCGTGTGTTGGGAGGAGGGCAGAGGGTGCCCGTGGCTGTGGACGGTTCTGCCACTGGGGGTCAGCTCTTGTCTGCATCACTTTCTCTAGGTGTGAACCTCCAGCCCCAACTGGCCAGTGTGACCTTTGCCACCAACAACCCTACGCTCAGCACCGTGGCCTTGGAGAAACCTCTGTGCATGTTTGATAGCACGGCGACTCTCAATGGCACCTATGAAATTTACCTCTACGTCCTGGTCAACTCGGGTGAGGGCCCTGCCTCCCTCTGGCTGCACTGAAAGGGGTTTGCCCTGTGCACAGGGAGGAGGGAAGGGGGCAGGTAGAGGGGTGCTCCATCCCTGTAAGTAAACTGTCCCCATGCCCCTCCCCAACCTGCACTGTCTGCTCTGAGCCAGCCCTGGGCTGGGGGCTGCAGTCACAGCCATCCTCGCCCTGGAGGGACATCCAGTCTAGTGACCCTCCTTTCCCATTTCACAGAAGGCAGAATCGAGGGCTCTCAGCCAGGAAATTACAATAGTGGGAGGCTTACAGGCCTGTGACAAGATGGGGTCGTGAGAGCTGCACACAGGGCTGTCACCTCCATTGCACAGGGCGCCCCTGAGGGCAGGGCCTGCGGCCCCAGGGCTCAGCACAGCAGGGGCTCAGAGAGTGTTCAGGAGCGTTTGATGAATGACTGAGTGAGCGACTGAGCCGGGGTGGCCAGGAACCTCACTGCCGGCACTGTCCCTACAGCCGGCTCCAGGAATGCCTCTGTGCAGGACAGCACCAAGACCCCGCTGAGCTCCACGTTCCAGCAAACTGAAGGAGGGAGGACAGGCCCCTACAAGGCTGCGGCCTTTGACCTGACCCCCTGCAGTGACCTGCCCAGCTTGGATGCCGTGGGGGATGTGTCCCGTGCCTCTGAAATTCTGAATGCCTACCTGGTGAGGGTGGGTGACAACGGGACCTGCCTGTCCGACCCTAACTTCCAGGGCCTCTGCAACCCACCCCTGTCAGCGGCCACAGAATACAGGTGGGTGTGGGCACCTGCTCGTGCCAGGCAGTTGTGCCCCAGACCGGACTTGGGAAGAGCCTGAGCTGGTGAAAGTGGGAGAGGCCACGTGTCTCAAGAGCCTACTATGTGCCAAGACAGTCTCAGGTCCCATGAAGGGCTTCCAGGTCGTGTGACTGTGCACAGGGCCCTGTGCTCAGAGGCCCCCACTTGGCTTAAAATTCTTTTTTTTTTTTTTTTTTTAGTAATAAATGTTAGACTTTTAAAAAATATATGTTTTTATTGATTTCAGAGAGAGGAAGGCGGAGAGAGAGAGTTGAAACATCAATGATGAGAGTTGTCATTGATCGGCTGCCTCCTGCACGCCCCCTGCTGGGGATCGAGGAGCCTGCAACCCGGGCATGTGCCCTGACCAGAATCAAACCATGACCGGTCATAGGTCGATGCTCAATCACTGAGCCATGCCGGCCCGGCTATTATTATTTTTTAAGTCTTTTTTGTGGGGCAAGGACCAGGCTGGGAGTAGTGGAAGGCAAAAATGCATGAAGGACAGATGGGTCAATGCTCAGCAGACACACTACATGTGTCATGTGCATAGTAGAGAAACAGAGGGGCTCCCGGAGGGAGAGCCTAGAAGAGGGCCACTGAGGCTGAAGGCTTCCTGGAGGAGGTGGCATCTGAGCTGGGGAAAGCGTCCTGGCCGTGATGGGTGGTAAAAGTGCTGATGTGAAGTCCAGCACTGCCCTGTGGCCACCTAGATTTCCATCCAGAAGTCCCTGCTCTGTCCCCAACCCCGGCTACCCTAATCCCTCCCACCTCCCTGTGGCCAGGCGCTCACAGGATGGACGGAAGTCATCCTCACTCCCTCTCCTTCCAGGTTCAAGTATGTCCTAGTCAATATGTCCACAGGCTTGGTACAGGACCAGACGCTGTGGTCGGACCCCATCCGAACCAGCCGGCGTGAGTGGCGGGGGTGGGTGGGGGTGGTCCTCAAGGGAACCTGGGAAAGCAGACTCGGGCTGTCACTCTGAAACTGCTCCCCAGACACAAGCGGGCCATTGGCTTATGAGGAAAACGCATTCTTTTTAAAAAATCCTTACCCGAGGATATTTTTTCTATTGACTTTTAGAGAGAGTGGAAGGTAGAGAAGAGGGGGAGAGAGAGAAACATTGATGTGAGAGAAACACATTGATTGGTTGCCTCCCACATGTGCTCCCACCAGGACCAGGGATTGAACCTGGGACCTTTTGGTCCACAGGCCGATGCTCTAATCACTGAGCAACTGGCCAGGACAGGACTGCACATTGTTTGACACTGGCCAGAGCAGAGGGGGAGCCCTGGCCCACCTGGCTCCGCCAGACCAGGGCAGGGCCCTTTGCTTCACCCTTATTTTACTAGTTTGTAATCTGTATCCCATCCGTCTCACCAGAGACGAGTCAGTGTATAATTTAAAATTATGCAAAAAGACAGTGAAAAGAGGAAGAGACCAGCCACGCTCAAGAGAAAGTTGGGAATTGGGATGTGGGGACAAGCACCCAGAGGCCGGGGGAGACGGTCGCAGAACTAGGTCCCCGCTTTGTNCCCAGAGGCCGGGGGAGACGGTTGCAGAACTAGGTCCCCGCTTTGTCCCTGGGACCTGCAGCCACCAGGCCTGGGAAGACCCTGTGCGTCCTGGGGGAGGGCTAAGGGTGCAGTGTCTGGGGAGTCATGGGCCTGTGTCCCGCCAGTCACCCCATACCAGACGATTGACACGTGGCCAGGCCGGCGGAGTGGCGGCATGATTGTCATCACATCTATCCTGGGCTCCCTGCCTTTCTTCTTGCTCCTGGGCTTCGCCGGGGCCATCGTCCTGAGCCTTGTGTGAGTACCACCAGCTGGAGGTGGGCCTCGGGGACACACTGGCACACTCCCAGGGGGGGTCCTCTGGGGCAGGGGAGAGCCCAGCAGGCAAGGGAGCTGCCTCCACTCTGGGTCCTGGGGCATCCAAGGTCACCGTCAGCTGGGTAGGGAGGGGCTTGTGGGCAGATGGCAGGTCCTTGGGCAAGTATCGTACCCTCCTGAGCCTCCAGCTCCTTTTCTGGAGAATGGAGACACTAATAAATATTAGTATTATATATTGTGAATCAAGTGAAATAACCCTTAGTCTTCAGGGTGGCGCCCAGGCACTAAACAAGCAGTAGCTCTTGTCATTGTAATTCACCCAACCGCAGGCAGTACAGATGGGGAAACTGAGGCCCGAGGGAGAGAAGGGTGGCTCAGGGTCATACGGCCAATTAAAACACAGGTGGGACCAGAGCCCCAGGCTCCTGACTTCACTCACAGCTCTGATCTGTGTCTATTTGGGTCAGGACTCAGGTCTCCACAGGGTGTCTGGAGCAGCTCTCAGGGCTGCCTGGTGGGAGCACAGGCCTGCACACAACCCAGTATCCCCGGAGGAGTGAGCAGGGGGTGAATCAAGGCACCCGCAGGTGCCGTGGGAATCTGGAGGACGACCGGGCAGATTCTGCCTGGGGCATCAGGGTGGGCTTCCTGGAGGAAGGAACAGCAGGAGCAAACTGTCATCAAGACGGGGATGGATGGAATAGCCACATGCAGTGTGCTTCTCAGCTAGAGGGAGCCCCAGAGGGTGCCTGTCCCCGTGAGAGCGGGGAAGCAGGTGGGAAAGCTTGGAAGAGTGGACAGTTAGAAATCAGCCGGGCAGGAAAAGACATGGGGGGGGGGTGTACAGGGAGGGGGCTGAGAGCTTGGAAATCAAGTTGCCTTCTGACATTTAAGTGGATAAAACCTCAAATAACAGATGAGATTAGCCTGAGAGTAGTTGGGACCTGGTGATGTCCCTCCCTTCCTTTGGGCAACACCCTAATCCGCCCGGTATCTGATTTTAGCGCAGTTCTTCCATTGGTTCCCCTTGTCATCTCTGGCTTCAGTTGCACAGAGCTTCTCACTATTGCCCCAGATACTCCCCAGTCATTTCCCAGCCCGAAATGCCCTTCTATGCCCCAGCTCTTTTCCTTTAGGGCCAGATTGACTGCCCCCTCCTCCAGGAAGCCCTCCTGTGGCTCCCACCAGGATTTGTCCATTCTGTCTGGTGGTTGCTGTGGCCTGTCTCCCTGTGCAATCTTAGCTCTTTAGGGACAAAGGGCAACAGCCTCCAAGTGTTCAGCTCACAGTGAAACCTGTGGATTGTTCACATAGTTCCAAAAGGGTGACACTTCTTACCCCAGGATGTGGCACACAGTATGTGCTCTGGAAAGATGGGTCTGTTGAGTGGATGCCTGAGACAGCATCTGTGGGAGCAACGTCCAAGTGGAAAGGCCCCTGACCAGCTCACGGGGCTTGGGCTTGCTCTGCGCCCCTAACCGTGGCTCTCTCACCCTCTCGGGCAGGGACATGGGTGGTGCTGATGGGGAAACCACGCACGACTCCCAGATCACACAGGAGGCCGTCCCTAAGCCCCTGGGGACCTCGGAGCCTTCCTACGCGGCTGTGAACCGTGGGCTACAGCTGGACAGGGCCGAGGTGTACGCCAGCAAGCTCCAGGACTGAGCCCCGGCACCCGTCCTCCTCACCTTGGGTCTTGGTCACACCCTGACCCACCTGACCCCACCCACAGTGAAACAGGTCCCATTGGTCCAACTGCAGGAACACTTTTGATAAAACCCACCCAAGAATTTGAGTTCAATAAAGATTTACAGAATGAGTGAGATGCGAATGAATGAGTCCATGTGTATTGCGGGCACGGATTGTGCCCCTAGAGGGTGGGGCCAGGGGACTGATTTTTGCCCAAAGCGAGGTGGTGAGGGCCGAGAAAGTCCAGGCTGTGGGACACCTGGCCGTCTGGCCTCACCTGTGAAACGGGAAAGTGAGCCCCTCTGTGATCGCCTCGGGTGAGCGTTAGGGGTCCTGCGAGACGGACTGTGGGTGGTCACTGGATGTGGTCTGGGGTTTGCTGGCTGAGAGGCACTGGGAGCCTGGGAACTGAAATGAGTCCCGGGGACAGCTCTGCCGGTAAACTCACCTTGTCACCTCCGCAGTCACCCCTTCCTCTCTGGGCTCAGCGTCCTCATCTGTGAAATGGGCCGATGTAAAAGGTTAGTTTCAAGGCCATGCGAGCCTGGGCTCCTTCACAGCTCTCGGGTCCCAGTGGGAGGGCGGAAAAGGCTGCAGGACACAGAGGAGGGTGACAAGTTCACTTGGGGGTGAAGGGACTCTCCCGTCCCGGGTCTCTGCTCAGATGCCGCAGTTCTGTCTTCTGGGCCAGGTAGCAAGGCCGCTTCCCTCTTGCAGATGTGCCCGGTTCCCATCGTGAAGGGAGAGGTGTGTCAGAGGAGCGTGGTTAGAGCAGGAACAGCCCAGCAGGCTGGCGGGCGCTCCGGGGCCCTGGGGGTGCTCCGGGGGCGCACATGTACAAGAGGGAGCCCTAAGCTGCAAAGGCAGGCGGCAGAGGCCTGAGAAGGAGCCTAAAGGCTGGGAGGGGTCTGGAGAAGCAGTTGTGGGTCAGTCAGGGTGGTGGGAGCTGCAGGAGCCCAGGGGAGCGAGTCCCTGGGGGAGGAAACAGGAGGGAGTGGTGGGTGTGGTGGGTGCTCCTCCCAGGAGGGTGCCAGCCTGGATGTGCCCCAGACCACCTCCTGGGTGCTCCAGACCAATATCTAGGCCCCAGGAGGCTGGCCTGGGGGCACCGGGGATTCCCCTTCCCCCAACCCTGGGCACCCTCCCGGAGCCCTGCCTCCTCTAGGGCAATGGGTCAGCCTTCTCCGGAGACCCCAGCAGTGTGTGGGGAGCAACGCTTCCTGGAAGTCTGCCCTGGCTAAAAACTATGCAAGTTTGCGGGCTCTTTCATAACATGCCTGTATTTGTTTAATTTTTTAAATGGAGATGAGATTCCCATGACATAAAATTAACCATTGAAGGGGAACAAGTCAGTGGCATTTAGAACTTTCTCCATGTTGTGCCTCCAACGTTTATTTAGTTCCAAAATAAACGTTTTCCTCACTGAAAAGGAAGTAGGTGGACGTGCACCTACTCGGGACATGTCAGGCCAATGGAGCCCAGCCCGTCAACCCTCCCGACTGCTCCTGCGGGCATCACAGCCGCCCCACCGGGCTCTCAGCTGCGATTGTCTAGGGCAGTGTCTACACTGAGCTGGAGGGCAGGTTAAAGGGCGGGCCCTTTTCTGTGGGACCTGCCCCCACCTCTCGCCTCAGCGTGTGCCAAGGGGAGGAAGGAGTCCGGCGTGACTTCCAGGTGCCCTCAACCCCAAAGGGGACAAATAGGTCTGTTGGAGGAGCCAGGGCCCTGGGGTGAGTGAGAGGTGAGCGGCCTGCGGTGTAGGCGGTGGGTACCCAGGCCTGCAGCTCCGTGGGAGGAAGGGGCTGCAGACATCAGACTTGGAGAAACCAGGGTGGGGCGAACGCACTGTTACCCCAGAGGTTCACTGCCCCTCACTTGCTCTGCTCGCTGGGACACGCTGGGGCCACTTCTGGGACACGCTGGGGCCACCTGTGAGCAGCTCTACCGGAGCCGGTGGGCGGCTGCGTTGCTCTTATCCCTGTAGCATGAGAACACCCCCCGCTGGGGGCCGCTCTGCCCGCCTAGGGCCCTGCGTGAAGAAGCCGCGGGGAGCAGAGCCGATGCCACTCAGACGCAAACAGGAAACAAACCTCGTGTTGCAGGACCCTGAGATTTTCCAGTTTGTTGTCACTGCAGGGGAGCAGCTCCCAGGAGGTGCCCCGGGGCCCTTGCACGTACCACATCGGCTTCTTGGCTGTGGCTTCCCCGCAGCTGCTCTGGTCCTGGCTGAAGGTCCTGAGATCCCCCCAGGATATGGGGGCTCACGAGGCCTGAGAGCTGCTGCCACAAGCCTGTTGCTTCCTGCGGCTCAGCAGCAGGGTGTCCCCTTCTCTGTGGCATCGTCATTGGTTTCAGTGTCAGCCCGCGGGGCGAGGAAGGCAGGGAGCGGGCATCTTTGTTCGCCTTCCTTTGCTGTCTGAGTCTGATGAGGACTCCGGTTTTGTGTGTTTGTCACCGGCGAAGCTGTTGGCCCAGCCTTGGCGGTCCTGGGGCAGCCAGCGCACCCCAGTGCGGCTTCTGATCGGCCGGGCGTGATCAGAAGGCAAAGGACAGAGCCCTTTCAGCTTTGGGGCCGGAACAGGGGACGACAGAGAGGCAGGAAGAACTCAGCGGGAAGCCGATCCTTACCCCAGCTCCCTGGGTGACCCCGTTGTCTCTGTCGTTTGCTTTCTTCCTCTGTCCCAGCATGTCGCTGTCCCTGAGACGGTGACGGTGCTACTTGGTGTCCTTAAACCCAACCCCGCACTTTTGCAGACCAGACAGCCCCTCCTTCCACTGGTTCCTGCCACTGTGGCTCCCTCTCAGCGCAGCCCAGGGAGAGGGTGCCGCATCGTTCAGCGGGTGACTGGATTCGGGGCGGTGGGGGAGGGGAGGGGGCACAGGCCTTCGCCAACTTCCATCCAGCTCTACCCAGTAGAGGGAGCCAAGCTGGCCCGTGGGGGTGGGCCGGAGATGCTGGGCTGGCTCGTGGGCTCTGGCTGGACTCAGGCTTCACAGAAACGTCTGGTTACAAATAGGCACAGAGGCCGTTTCTCTAGCCCACTTCTCAGGTGCTAAGGGACCCTCGTCCCCACGGCTGAGCAGGCAGGGCCTGCAGAGCTGAGCGCTCCACCTGCACCGGGGACGCCTCCCTTCCCTCCCGCCCGTCAGGGCTCAGCAGCCAGTCACCTAGATGTGCTGTGTGACTTGGGGCAGGGAAGTGACCTCTCTGTACTCCCCAACCTCATGTGTGCAGCACGTGGTGGGTGGTTTCCAGTTTGGGGCTTTCCCAAATAGTACCTCGGTGTGGAAATGACTGGATTGCATGGTGTGTGTATGACTCATTTTTAAAGAAACTGCCAAATTGTTTCCCAAGGTGATTGTATCATTTAAAAAACACCTTTAGCCTGGCCAGGCGTGGCTCAGCGGTTGAGCATTGACCCAGGATCCAGGCGATTGGGGTTCGATTCCCAGTCAGGGCACAGGCCCGGGTTGCAGGCTCGATCCCCAGTCGGGGGCGTGCAGGAGGCAGCCGATCAATGACTCTCATCACTGATGGTTCTCTCTCTCTCTCCCTCTCCCTTCCTCTCTCTGAAATCAATAAAGGCATATTTAAAAAATAAAAATAAAAAACACCTTTAGTCGCAGGTTCGATTCCCAGTCAGGGCACATGCCTGGGGCTGCAGGTTCTGTCCCCCGTGGGGCGTGTGCAGGAGGCAGCCGATCGGTGTTTCTCTCTAGCCCGCTCCCTTCCTCTCTCTCTAAAATAAATTTAAAAAAAAATTTAAAAAAAATGAAAAAAACCCCACACCTTTCTTTTGAAATAATTATAGATTCGCAGGAAGTTGCAGAAAATGTACAGAGAGTTTCGTGTAGCCTTCTCCCAGCCTCCGTGATGTTAACATCTTATGACTATAGCTTCATTCTATTAAAGCCAGGCAGCCGCCCTGGCCGGGGTGGTTCAGGGGTTAGAGCTTCCGCCCGAGCACTGAAGGGTCTCGGGTTCGACTCCCAGTCAAGGGCACGGATCTGGGTTGCAGGTACGATCGCCAGCTCCAGCTGGGACGGGTGTGGGAGGTGACCAACCGATGTGTCTCCCATTGATGCCTTTTCTTCTCTCTCCCCCCTCCCTC